TTTTTTTTTTTTTTTTTTTTTTTTTTTTTTTTTTTTTTTTTCCATAGCCACTTTTCAACCACCAGAACGCAAAGATGAGCGATAAGAACCAAAAAGCAAACCAAGAAAAAACCACGAACCCCCCAAAATACCTGTTGCTTCGTTGCACTTGTTTTTTTTTTCTTGAAGGGGCATCCACTAAACTGCATACTTGTTGCCATTCTATAAATCCGACCATATGAGCGCCTGCCTCTTGCATTCTTATTATTGAATGATTCGTTTACATGCAGTCAGCATTCAGATAGCAATTTGGTATGATCGTTCTGACGTCCAGTGGCATACTATGTCTGGTTAATTAAGGTCCTGTTCTTTTTTTGGGGGGGGGTAACCCGGGTGCAGTCACGTTTTCAGTTCTAAATCCGTTTCAGGCATTCCCTCGAATACAACATCATCCCCACCCAACCCTAAAGCTGGGTTGGATACATTCACGATTCTCCTCTCCTTGAGAGTACAATTCGGGAAACCGTGACTGAAACGCATGTAAAACGGAAAACCTTGCCTGCGCCCTAGTGTTCCCTCTTTTTTTGCGGGGGGGGAAGTAAACAGGCTGTCAAGCCCTCTGTGGTACACGGGGCAGTCAATACCTCTCTGACGAATACTCTTCTCATGGATTCAGGCCATATTGGCACCAGCTCTTTCCAGGATGTATCTGGCCGCTTTCATGGTCAGATTTTGATGAGTGTGGGCTCACCAATAGACTGTAGTCATTCCGTTCCTTCAGGATTCGACCTCATGATCCACCCGTTCCTTTTTTCCATCACGATAACAGAGACACACAACAGAGAGACTGTAGCATCAGAAAACCAGCTGAAGAGGCCATTCCGTTTTCCCGTCATATACATGTCTTCGCGAGGGGGAAGAAAAAAGTGATTTTCAAATACCTGCACTGACTCCAAGAGCGGCCGTCACACAGTTATTACAAAACCGGACAATCTCTCAGAAATGAGATCGGTGTGAAATTGAGTTTCAGCCGCTCCGAACAAGACGAGTTAACAGACAGACACCGCTGTAAACAAACATCAAGAAGCGATTAAAATACCAATGCTAACCATCCCTTCCCGACTTTCATCCGCCATTCTCCGAGGAAAAAACAGAAGCTGAGGTCAGATAAAAGACTCGGTTTTCGCCGAAGTACTGGCGCAGGCAGCGAGAAGAGAACCAGCTACACCTAACTACCACTCCAACTAGTCAAACACCATCCTAACATGATCATCAACGATCAAGAAGAAAAACGACCTAATGTAATTGATTGGTGCTCAACCTGAGACCCTTCCTAATCCCCAGACTACTCAACTACAATGCAACGAAAACGCGCAACAATGAAACGGCCGAACCAAATCGCATACGCCACGCTCCGTGGTCGGCGACTGCCGATGGTGCAGCCGATACTCTCGACACCAGCATCCCATGTACACTCCTAAATACCTGCTACCTACGCACACTCTCTTAATCAAGCTTTGGAGATGTGCTCAATCAACTCCACCACGCGGTTGGAGTATCCCCACTCGTTGTCGTACCAGGACACCAGTTTCACGAAGTTGCCGCTCAGGGCAATGCCCGCCTTGGCGTC